TTTTCAGCACGACAGGAAAGATTGAGTGAAATGTGCACATAGGTGAGTTTTTTTCAAACTAGCTCAAATCAATATCCTTCATGTGCTTCAACCAATCCCTTACATATCCCTATCTGTCTGTGTGTAATAACAAGTAGCATCGTTAAAGCCTAATTAAATGCCATAAAGTAATCACTGCTTCCTGATACCAGTAAATAAAAGAACTTTGAGGGAATGAGGGAGGCCAGACAGCAGCAGGAATTTATTTGCTGAAGAAAAAAATCGATGTGATGTACATGCACTTAAAAACTTTCCATGGTGAGTATTAAACGTGATGAATGCACTGTCACAATGGGACAGAATTTGTGGTTAAATCTGCAGTTATTTGTACCTAAGAGCAGAACTTAATGGCTTTGATTTGTGATTTCTAAAAGACCAGTGTTTTTCCTGAATACCAGCCTGACGCTGGCTCCATTCTGTTGACAGAGATGTACTCAGTGCAATCACACACACACGCACGCATCTACACATCATCACCTCTTCCAGCTCAGTTCCACCCCCCTCTGATTTGTTTGATTTGGCTAAGTAGTGACTCACAACCAGTCTGTGTTCATTGTACACAGGAGACAGCATGGGTTTCTTGAGCCACATTTATGTTGGATTAAAAGACAGCAGTTTTATTTATTACAACCCGATTTCTAACAGTATAATTCACATGCAAGAATGTGAAATATACCAATTGGCCCCTGACATGTAAAATGTAATTCATTCAACATAACAAACTGCTTTTGAAAATCTGAACACATTGATATTATGGGAATGGTAAAATGTTTTTCCACAGTGAGATTGTAGGCAAAGCCTTTTCCTAATAGGAGCCATACTGTGTGTTATTCTGTGATGCTCGAGCCTGCTGGTAGCTCTTTGTGTGTTTGTTTCCAAATATTTAATCAATACCAATGCATTACAGGAGTCTCAAATTTATGGGCTCTTTCCTGCAGCGTTGTGAAATGACATTTGATGCTCGTAGGCTAATGGCAGAAAAGGTGCCACATCGTATCATAAAACAGATGAATGAGAAATTAGTAAGCTTGGCAATCAGTTGCTAAAGGGCAGTTTTGTTTGCAGTTTTAACACACGTTTTAAACAGGCCCCGTGCAATCAGTGGTGTTTTGATTCAGACAAACAGCCATTATTCATCTTCTGTATATAGCAGCCAATCCACACTGTGTATGTCGATATAAATTAATAACTTATCTGTTTTGTTGATTGTTAAATTTCTTTACATGATGTATTTAATGACTCACCTGCGTCTTCTACATGAAACCAGACCAATATCTTTTGCAAATAATTTTTAAGATAATGGCTTTAATCTCTTAAAAACAGCAAAAAAGCAAAAAAAGATGAATAAATAGGGAGAAAGATTTTCTTTAAAAACACATTTTGAACATAGTTTCCCTTTGTTCTGCATCAGAACCAAGAACATAAATGTTCACTCCTGTTTCCCTGGACTAGAGATAAAATTCCTCTCAGTTTAAAGACCTCTGGTCCCACACAATTTGTATCATCATTGTGGCATAACACAGACAAAATAAATAACATCAAGTTCAGACATCATCCAGAACCTTCCCCCGAGTCTGAAAAGCTCAGTAAGCTACAAAGGTACGAATAATCAGAAACAAGATACATTCAACGGTTTTGTCCACAAAGTTTTGTCCATCAGCAGATTCTACATACATAAGATTTTTGTTGTGCTTGTTTTCCTGTCACAAGCGAATGTTCAGAATGCTTTTAAAGACCCTTTTAAAGTTCCCATTACAGAGTGGGTATATGAAAGGGTTGAGAGTGGAGTTGATGTAACCCAGCCATATCGTGAACATGTGCAGGTCATGGTGCACACACTCTCTGCAGAATGCCATGACCATGAAAGCTATGAAGTACGGAATCCAGCACAGCAAGAAGGCAGCGATTATGAAGCCTAACTGCTTGGCTGCTTTGTGCTCTTTATGGATCCTCAGACTCTGGATGCGCTGACGTGATTGGTCTATAAACTTTTGCCATGCCTGTTTCAGAGTCACGGCGTTGGCCGGGTCCAATTCAGCGTCTTCAACCCCTTCATCCGTCCACCGCAGAGCGTGACTGGGGTCGTAGGTGGTATAGAGCGCAGAAGTGTATCTCTGCACATCTGACACCTGACTGATATCGCAGACGCCGCTAGCTGAGTTTGGTATTGTGACGTGACATTCGTTTAATGATGCTTGAAGTTTGTGCTCATAATTTCCCTCGGAGGAAATGACATCCGTTGGCACAGAATTGTTCCTCATGGGAATATCAACATCTGGCTGCTTCCCCTCTGGGGCCAAGGAGCACCTTTTGGCCTTTCGTGCCACTCTGAGTCGCTCTGTTGTCATGGCTAGCAGTGATGTCTGCTGGCACTTGACAACAATTTTCCTGTGAGATGCAGAAGGAGCAGCTTTGACTTTATCAGCCTCTTCGAGTGAATACACCTGATCGAGAGTGTTGTGATCCAACAAGCGTTGCTTTTTAGAGAGTTTCAGCGGAGCTTCACACTCCCTCTCAGTTGATTTGGAGGAATTTTTCTCAGTTGTTTTAACATTTTGTCCATTCTCATTTCCAAACGAGTCAGTTGGATGGATGATTCTCTCCCTGTCCCTCAGATGCTGTCTCACAGCCAAGTAGATGTGCGTGTAGAACCACAGCATCAAAATCGAGGGCACATAGAAGTTGAAGACGGCAGTAATGACCTTAAACCATGTGACGAAGCGAAAATCCGTGTCACACTTGTTCTCCTCTTCAGGTTTTAGCTCTACATGTGTGAATGACCTCCATCCTAAAATTGGAATTATCCACATTATCGACAGCAGCCAGGCTCCAGAAATCATCACACTGGCTTTTCCTCGTGTTCGATACTTTAGGTACTTAAGTGGTTGTCTGACAGAGCGGTACCGGTCCAAGCACAGGATGAACAAGCTGAAAATCGAGGCTGTGCTCGCCACGTAGTCCATAATGAGCCAAAACTGGCAGACAGCCCGACCCAGCCTCCATTCATCCTCAAGTAAATACACCAAGTTCAGAGGCATGACTGTGGTCCCTACAATCAGATCAGCCACCGACAAGCTGACGATGTAGAGGTTCCCGACAGTATGCAGGCTCTTCTCTCGCTTCACAGCGTAGAGCACAAGTAGGTTCATGAAGATGGTAAGGAGAGAGATGAGTCCCAGAAAGACCCCCAGCAGGGCTTTGTGGAAGAGGTTGTGGCCGCTCAGGGTGCGATTGATCCTCAGTGAATCACTGTCAACAAGGCCACTCCAGTTATTGCTGTTATTGACGTAGCTGCTGGTGTTGAGGTGTAGTAGAGGATAAGTGGATGATGACAGACCAGATTCCATCATGGTAGGTGAGACGGTCACCTCTAGACCCAGTCACATTGTGTAAAAGTGTCCTCAAACATGGCTTTAACTGCAGACTGTATGAAGCAGTGTGTTTGAATCAGGTGAGGAAGGTGTTTGGAGTCAAGACTTGCTGCATAACAACCAGTGGAAGAAATCCTTTCAAAACTAGGAAAAAGCTCCATCAGCATTGTATTGATGTGTAGTCCATTTGTCATATATATATCCAAATAGATAATACCTGGAAAACATAAAGAACGTTAGAGGTTAGAATTAAGTTTTTTGTCTTAATTCAAGTTGTACGATTTTAACCCCATTTCTTCTGCAAAAAACAAAACATCGTAAATAAGAGTATCTCTCTCCATCACTCACATTTGAATGGATTTAAATATATACTTAAATACTGCTTAACACATTTAATCTTTGTTCTTTAATGTATGGATATACATTTTTAGTGGACTAAAATCTCTCATGCTGTTTCTCTTTCACTGTCCAGCTGGCTTTTTTTAACACTCATATGAAGGGAGGGTGACGAATCCCATCAATATACAGCAGAGGACAAACTGTGTGACTGGAACAAAGGAGGCTAAAAATCCATCTATCTATCTATCTATCTATCTATCTATCTATCTATCTATCTATCTATCTGTCTGTCTGTCTGTCTGTCTGTCTGTCTGTCTGTCTGTCTGTCTATTTATTTATCTATCTATCTACTGTGTCTGTCTGTCTGTCTGTCTGTCTGTCTATTTGTCTGTCTGTCTGTCTATCTATTTATTTATCTATCTATCTACTGTGTCTGTCTGTCTATCGATCGCTAAGCTGTATTTCCAAAATTACAAGTGTTTCATGCTCAGTGGGGAAAAACAACACAAATCACACACAGAGGCAGTAATGGGGGTTATGATGTTTTTTAGCAGCGCTCCCTCAGATAGTGACTCATCAGTTAGTGTCATGGTGGTTTTGATATAAAAATGAATCAATGCAGGAAGATTTATTTGCTTTCATGTTTACATCTGCTCGCATCCTCCAATTCAATCAGACAAATAAATAACTACATAAGCCAGAGAGGGACGGAAATGACCAAACACTGGTAATGAACTATGACACTGTGGATACTGTATGATGGCTCCATCCAGGAGGTTTATTGACAAGAACTCCAGCTTTTAGAAACAAGTAAGTCTGGATGATAAAACAATGATTATTGCGATATAATTGGCATCAATAGCAATAGTCTATAACAAAAGTAAAATATATCACAATATATTGCTAATGCATTGTGTAAGCATGGTGAGGAGGTATTTAATATGTACTTGGTGTCATTCTCTGCACATAAAGAACAGTTTTAAACCACAACCTTCTCTCAGAAGTTGTTAAACTCAAAAGAAATGATGATGTGACATTTATCATGATAATCATTGATATCGACATGATAATCTTGATAACATTTTTGGCCATATCGCTCAGCAGTCATTTCATCAATGGGACAAATGATAATAAATGCACTTAATTAAAGTCAAATTCAAATGTACAATCGTGATAAATATGACGAACAGACTAAAACACACATCCTGTTTGTCATATTTTGAATCTCGCATAAGGCTTTGACTCAAACAATAGTCTATAATTTATAATCTGTGACTGTGTGTCTAGTATCTCTGTGTGTACAATAACTGCCTCTGCAACACAAATATTTAGGAACCGTATTACTCACTGAATTCACAAAGAATGACACAATGCAGAGGGGATGGATAAAAGAGAGAAAAAAATTGACGTGCTGCGTGTTTTCTGCATTTGCACAATCTCTCTGCACCAGGACAGGACATGGTATTTATCAGACTAATTCCTCCATGTGATTATCTTAAATGAGCATTGTCTGTCTGGTTTCATTAGAAAAAGAGCACGGACGCGGATTAATCGCGCTGCCTTTGATGAATCTACATGAAAAATGTCTTTGACGCGAAGTCTGTGCGCAAAGAACAACCTGTTGATCCGCGCACGGAAACTTTTCAGTTTTGGTATGCAAACGATCGAACAAAATAGACAACGAAACGACTTTTGTCCGCGTGTTTAAACTTAATAACTTCAACAATCTCAGTGATCGTTTCCACACTTACCTCTCAGCATGAATTTCCACGTTCAAGTGTGCGTTTGTATTCCAGCTTCTTGTATTCAGGGTGGAAATAAAGAAACGAATAAAGGTTTTAGGAGAAAGAAATAAGAGTCTCTTCCTCCCTCCTCCTCCTCTCTCTTTGTGCAATGGACTGAACTCAGACTTCAAAGTCCACGTGAACAAGTGCAGCCATAAAAGAGCGACTGTCCCTGGATGGAGTTTTCACCTGATGAGGTGGCGCGTCATGATTCAGTGTGTGTGGGATTCACTCCGTCAACGAGCGAGTGGGTTCCAGTGAGTTCCTGCATAGCGATGCCATGTGGAGATTACTGCGGCGAAATAAAATTATACAGAAGGGAGATATTAGAGGTCGAATAACAAAATCTACAGCAGAGGTTCTCAATGTAGGGCTTGGGACCCCCGGGGGGTCGTGAGACACTGAGAGTGGGGGTCTCGAGATGATTTCCCAGTATCATGTAAAACTTAAAATTTTGTTGTAGTTACACTTTCAAGATATAAAAAAAGAATAATTTGTTTTTATTAACATAAAATAAAAACATCCAGATAATAATTATAGCCAATGTCCAAAAGTGAAGTAACCATTGACCACGTCATCAAACTACAGAAAAAAAAGATGTAAGGTACATAACGTACGCCATTCACATTTGACTCTTAACGAGTACATGTACACAATGTTTTTATCACAGGTGTGAATGTGTAATATGAATGTCGGGGCTTACGGACATGTTTTTTTTCTGTTGTTTTTTACGTTTGAAGGAGTTACCAGTTACTTCAATTGTATTGGATTTGGCTATAATGCTGTTTACCCTTGAAACTCCAAAAGTGTTTTGTGGACTCAAACACTTCACCCCTCCATCTGCATAGTTGTGAGTATAGGGAATTTTCATTTTTGGGTATACTATCCCTTTAAGTGCTCTGATTTTTTTTGTAAGTTGATGGTAGCATGCCAGATTTCATTTTCACCGAACACATTGCCAGATGTCCATGTATGTAATTATTTGTGAACTTCTTTGTAAGCCTCAACTACCTCGGGGATAATGGGGGTCACAAGTCTCTGGCACTGTTATTTTGGGCCAGGGGTTGAAAAGTTTCGGACCCACTGGTACCACAGATTTGTAGGCAGTGACTTAATTATAGGTTTCAGTTTTATAATAGAAACATATTTTGATGTGTTTTTAATTTATTTTACATATATTGCTTTGAAATGTATAGACTATTAGTACATACATTGTACTGGTATATTTTGTGGTGCTGTGTTTTTAAGTATATTTTCTTATGACCGTTAATTTCATGAAGGGACCGTGTCAGAATTTTCAAACATGGTTGTGTTTTTTGTTCTATCTCTGGAGTGGTATATAAGTGAAAGCAATGAGTCTCAATTCAACTCAATTCCATTTTATTTGTAAAGCACCAGATTAATCACAACATACAACATATATCCCCAGCTTTATATCCCAACACATGTCAGCCAACGCACGTGTTAGTGTGTGGCTTTATGTAGAATATAAACAACCTGTTTGATTTGTTCAAGTCATCTTAGCTCAGCTTAAAAAATGTAGATTTTGTGAAGTATACAATATCCAATTAGATTTCAAGAAAAAACAATACATTTCCTTGTTTATGCTTGTTTATGCTTGTTATTGAAGCAGTTATATTTTTACAGTCTTGAGTGTTACAATAGTACAGAGACAATGAAAGTTTGAATAGAGGGAGAGTTGGCTCGACCTTATCACTTTATGACATGTGTTTATAGCTTTATTCCAACTGATCCAGTAATTCTTTTCTTTCTTTACTATCCTGTTGTGACATCTGGCTAAAGGCTGCATACAGGTGAATTTCAAACATAAACCAACCAGCCAATGTACTGGGAGTATATCACTTGATAAGCATAATACAAACAAAATAAACCCATGTATCTCTCAACAGATGATCCGAACAACAAACAGCACTGTACAGCAAACCGTAAAAGATATCACAACAAATCAAGAGGTTAATTTTGCAATGTACCAGCCGCTCCATTGACTTGATTGGCCAAATCATGGGTCCTCTGGATGTCTGAACCTTTCCCGTTATCTCTGAGGCTGAAAGTCTACAGAAAGCATATGTCAGCCACTCCCCCTGTGCTTATGACCACAGGTTGAAGGCAGGATATTGGAAAATTCCAGGCTATGCCTTCCGGGCTCACTGGTTAGTACCAAGCCAACATTGCTGCACCACAGAAACCCACCTGTCTTCTCATTCTGTATTCCGGTGACTTCACTAGGGGTAGGACCCCACCCCCAACTTTGAGGTGCTGACCGCAAACCACCTCAGTCTGATGAAGCCAACAGAACATTGTCTGCAAAGAGAAGAGATGATCTCTTCTAACCACCTCCATCCTGTAAATTAATGTCACAAACAGGATTGGTGACAAGGAGCAACTTGGTGCAAAACCCTCTGGAAACATGTTTGACTTTGTGCCAAAGATACAGACAAAAATCTTGCTTCGGAAAACTTTTCTTATCATTATTAAGAGGTGCCTGTAGACACACATTCATAAATATAAGAGGTGAACCTGATAGTTACTTGAGAAACTTTGATTTAACCACTGTCACAGAGTCAATAGATTTGTCATGAGAGACTGTGTGAGAACACTGAGTTTCATGTCAATATGGCTGCACTACTTGGCAGAGCTCGAGGTTTATGCCCAGGTCATTTTTTTTCGGAAAAGGGGGAAATAAGTTAACATTTAACATCATTAAGTCAAAGGCATGGTTGTTGTAATTGTGTAAAATCATATGCATACACCCCAATTTATTAGAACTTTTTATATTGTAATAATAACTATCAACAGTGATGTCATTTCAACCATATGATGATGAGCAATCAGTTCATCCAAAT